TCTTTGGAAGTTCTTAAATGCATGCTGGACAAACATTTGTCTGGGGTGGTTTAGACTGGGACCTTGTGTACCTTGAGCAAAAGGCTGGACAAGATGATCCCTTAAGGTACTTTTCTGCCCTGTTTTTCCTATTATTCTAAGAAGACTGCTTGCCATGTGCTTTTTAGCTTATCATGCTTAGTAACTATTAGAAAAGGATCACAGGACACTATGTAATACCTATCACACCTGGAGCACCTAAATCACTAAGGCACATGTTGACTTAAAGAGATTACGTGTTCACTCTTCTTTCTGTAGCCTGTTTGCTTCTCCTCTTCCCCATTTCTAGTGCATGTTATATCTTTACTCATAAATATTCATGACATAGGGAGACTTGGAGACCCCATCCAAAGGTAGGGCGGCAGTACTGTGCCTGGCATTGCACAGAGCCAGAGATAGTCTCTTTCCTGAAAAAAATAATGTGAATAGACAAGACAGGTAAGGAGCAGGAGGGACAGCAGAGGTGAAGGGACTTTTCAGCGGTCAAAGAGCAAATCACTGGCAAAGCCAGGCACAGAATGCAAGTCTCCAGAACCCAACTTGAGTACCCAGTATCTACTAGACAGCAGCTTTTGGTCAAATCCAGTCCTATGCTCTGGTCCACATACCTATGGTCCTGAATAGAGCCCCATGGAAGGCAGAATCAAGGGCATTAGCTGGCAAAACTTTTAGAGATCCTTGCTTTTCTTGTCAAGTGGTCACTCTGTGGCGTGCTCTACAGTAGGGGTCAGCGACCTTTTAGGAGTGGCAGCCAAATTAACCCACTTCTGACTCAGGTACCCACGCCACTGCTTCCCTGACCACCAAACTGCCCCAGGTATTACAGCTTCATGGACCGGATGCAATCTCTTGACAGGCCAGATCTGGGCCATTGGTTGCCAACCCTTGCTCTGCAGCAGGGTTGCTCAACCGCTGGCCAAATCCAGCCCACGGAGTTACGGCATCTGGCCCACGGGGATCCCCAGGAGACCAGAAATTTGTCAGCAGGGGAGCAGTGGAAGCTCCATGTAGCTGGATCCAGCCCTGCCTGGGCCAGTGCTGCACAGCAGGCTCAGGGCTGGGCCTGCCCGCGGCGTGTCCGGACTGAGCCAAGCTGCTCCCCATCCCCACCACACCCTGCACATCTGGATCAGGGCCGGGTCACTCTACCCCTCGCCCCTGTGCCCCGATCCAGACCAGGCTGCTCCCCACCCATGGCAGATGGATCAGGGTCAGGCTGTACGGCTCCCAGCAACTGAATCGGGCCCCCAGACACACAGCGGCTGGACTGGACACAGCCCGCCCAGCCTGTGGGATGAGAAGATTGGACCCAGAGGAAGAAGAAGCCTTTATTTCCCAACACCCGAACATGACCGTGAGGCCTGGGAGTGAACCAGCCCCCCTCAAGGGTTCAGCCCTGCACAGTCGGGGGTCCACGCGTAGGGCAGGGATAACCATGGGGGCAGGAGGGGGGTCACCGCTGGCCCCTGCCCGCACCCGGACAAGGTGACAGGCGCTTTGCACCCCCCACGGGAGAGGCGGCAAGCAGGTGTGCGTGGGCATAGGGGTGCGCTGCAGGTGCTGCCGCTGCCTGCCCCTGGCCCTGTAAGTGGGGAAAGTATCATATGTGCTGAAAAAACATTGCACACTGAAAAAATATGCAAAAAAAGGATGCAAATAAGTCTTCTCATTTACTTTATATTGCCAATGAGTGAGTAAGAACAGGAAATGTTTCTTTATTTCGAGGCCACGTCATAAGAAAGTGCTGAAAGCAAGCCCCAAAGAGGGTGTTAAAACTTCATTAGAGCAACTTGGGTCCTGAACGCCACGTGCCCCCAGAGGTTTGGGGGGGCATGGCGAGCTCCCACAGGCAGTCACGGTGCTGTTGGTGGCAGGGGGGGCAAGCACTGACCAGCGGTCGGCGACCATCCGCAGACACCGCCAGTGGTGTTGGCAAAAAGTGGGGTGGAGGGATGGGGGCAAGCAGCAACCACTGGCAGCGTCAGCAGCACTTTTTGCAGGGGGGGCACCGCCACGCTCGGGGGGGGGGGGGGGTGGGCCCCCGCGTTGCCAATGACTTGGGTTTTGCACATGCTGCATCAATTCACTGCCTCAAAAACTACTGCACACTTTGAACACTTTTACTATCTTTTTGTACACTTTGGCTTTTACTTTTTAGTACTTTGCCTTTTTTTGTACACTTTGACTTGTTGTATGCTTTGACCTTTTTAAAAAAAAAATGTACACTTTGACTTTTTAAAATGTTTTTGTACACTTTGACCTCTGTTTTTAAAGATTTTTTTGTACACTTTGACCTTTTTTAAAAAAAAGCTGTACACTTTGGCTTTTCTTTTGTACACTTTGACTTTTTAAAATGTTTTCGTACTTTCTTTTAATTTTTTTTTTGTACTTTGACTTTTTTTGTACATTTTGACCTTTTATTTAAAAAAAAGTGTACACTTTGACTTTTTTGTACACTTTGACTTTTCTTGTTTTGTACACTGACTTTTTAAAATGTTTTCGTACGCCGACTTTTCAGATTTTTTGTACACTTTGACCTTTTTTTCAGATTTTTTTGTACACTTTTTTTTTTTTTTTTTTTTTGT